ACATTTTATGTAGACGGGAATATGGGCTTTCAAAGTTCAAGACTGATGTTGGTAGGTAATTGATTAAGTAAGTGGCAGTTTCAAAGGCATAGTCCCAATATTGAAGGGGTCCTGAGCCTTCAGCGAGAAGAGCTAAGCCGATTTCAACGATATGTCTGTTCCGGCGCTCAACTCTGCCGTTTTGTTCATGTGTATAGGCACAAGATTGCTGGTGATTTATACCAAGTGTTTGGAATATGGTGCGTAATTTTCTGTATTCACCCCCTAAATCTGACTGTATAGACTTGATAGAACTAGGGTCGGTCCAAACATTTTATAGGCCGGGGCAAATTTTTTTTAAAAAAAAGCCCCTATATGAAAAGCTATTAACTGTTCATTTTTTTTTTGTTTTTTTTTTTTTTCTCTTTTCACTTCCAGATAAATGTTTATTAGGCAACATTGTATGACAACAATATAAATAAAACTGGTCTTAACAAAAAAAAAAAAAAAAACAAAAACAAAAACAAAAGCACATCGCACTTATGAATAGTGAAATTGTCAATCAACAATCTTTATTTCTACTAACGAGTAAAATGAATAAACACATTTTCATCAAGAAAAACCCATATATTAAAAAAACCACTAGTAACACAAGCAATAGTAAACAAATTTGACTACACATTTTAACTCCGTAAATGAAAATTTGTTATAGTATTTAATTTTTTTCCTTTATTTTTCAATTGAGATTTTATTCACGACCTATGAGAAGAAAAAAGTGCAGCAAGAATTTCTACAATTCATCATGAGGCAAGGTAAAAATAAAAAATGCAGTAATCTGCATTCCTAATTCCAAAAACAACAATGAACAATTTATAATCAGCCTAATTTGCATTTGAAATTCGACCAATTTCTAACAATTCCTAATTCTAATATCAAAAAACAACAATAACAATTCCTAATTCTAGAAGAAACAATAGATAAATACGGCATTATGAAAACTAAATTCCTAATTCTCAAATCATAGTTTTCAAAAAAAAAAAAAAAAAAAAAAAAAAAACCAAATCATAAAATATCTTTGCAAAAAAATTACTGAGATTGATTAGGGGAATTATATTGGTGAAGCATTGAAGCCACAAAGGGATTACGAAGACTATTTGGCAAAGACGTGGCGGTGGCAGGCCGGCGTCCGGCGAACTAGAGAGTGGTGAAGCAGATTTGGAGAGAAGATTTGTTATTTTTCAATTGTTGATTGCCAAAGCTTTTAATAACTTTGTTTTTACCGTTGAGAAGAATTGAATGTGCACGACCGGCGAGGCAAAGGGCGGCATGAGTGTGCGATGTCTCGATCTTCCGTCTTCTCGGCTTCCATTTGAGTCTTCTGTCTCTTCTTCGTCTAACTTAAGTAATACGTAGTATATATTATATATACTATATTAATATATCTTATGACCTATGGGCCCCACTCTAGAGATGGGTCGGCCTTGGATAGAACGCGAAAATTGGCGATCTACCAACACATGAAACGAATCAAAATTTTTATATATGTCCGATTTTACCCGTAATGGATAAAACCAACAGAAGCGCGAATAGTCATCTACAAATAGCAGGTCCTCATATATCGGTATATAATAAATCTAGAACATTATTGCTAGAATTTTCAACCCTATCTAACTTAAACCGCGAAGACTTGCCAAGGTGACAAGTCGTGCATGACCCCGGCGATTTGGCTTTATTTGGCTCAACCGGACAACTTTGGAGAACTCGATTTAGGACGAGACCGTGCGGGTGACCTAGCCTGCGATGGCACACCGCAGGAGTAGTGCGGGAACTGGTGAATGCGAAGTGCGATTGTGACACTGGAAGTTTGTACAAGCCACCCGAGATGGGTCCCTTAAGTAGAACTGCCCTGGTTTTGGAATCCTTCACAATAAAATAATTGTTATGAAATTCAAAATAAACATTGTTTTCATTAGTGAATTTGTGAACGGATAAGAGTGGTACGGACAAACTCGGGACATGCAAAACATTAGATGGACATAAAGATTTAGACACAGAAGGGATGGATACATGACCGACTCGTGAAATAATCAAACCTGCGCCGTTACCGACTCGCAACACGTCGGGGCCACTGTATTCGTCGGAGTGAGTCATCATTCCGGTGTCGGGCGTGGCATGCGCTGTAGCTCCGGTATCTGGATACCAGCCTTCTGCCGAATTTGCCGCATTCGCCGTTGCAACTTCGCCGGAGGTCGCCACATGAGCATGAGCCGACGGCTGAGTCGTGTATCGCTTGTAATAATAGACAGCCGTGTGCCCGTGTGAACGCCAGATTTGGCATCTCGGCGCACCACAGCCGCCGCGACCACCTCGTCCTTGCTAATTCGACCCATGCCGGCCATCATCGCCGTTCGACTCACGGCCACGACCAGCATACATGGCCGTGTGTGATCCGCCATCAACCACCACGGGGTATTCATCGGAGATGATGAATTCTTGAGCCTGCAAATAGTCGGATAATTGTGGGAGGGACACCAGAGTACCTGAAATAGTGAGAGACATAGCCATAACTCTAAATTCCGGACGGAGTCCTCGGAATACATAGAGATTCTGCTCGTCCAAGGAGAGTGGCCGGCCGGCCTGCGCAAGAGCTTCTACGATGAGTTCTGCATACCCCAAATAATTAGCCGGCGAGGCGTTACCTTGGCCTAGCGATTGGAACTACCCGAGCAAGTTCAGGCACCGTGCGCGTGTGGAGGACTCGGGAGCCGAGGTGATGGAACGCCATACCTCCGCGGCGGTATTCCGGCCGACGGTCAAATGAAAGACCTCATCGGGCATTGAGGAGTGAGAGGGTCGATTGATCTTGCTGCACCCACGCCTTGTACGCCGGATTGGGAAGAGGAACCGTAGCAGTCGCACCAGACGCTGAGTCGCCGGAGGATGGAACTGTGTCGACGGTAGGCGATGGGCACGACGTGCTGCCGTCGACGAATCCAAGGCAATCCTGGCCCCGTAAGAACGGGATGAGCTGCGTACGCCAGAACAAGAAATTTCTGGATGTAAGCTTCATAGAAACGTAGTGGTGGGCTGAGGCTAGAGGGTTCGGGGTAGTCGGTGAGGGAGTGCCGGCGGCGGAGACCGTCCTTTCCGACAAATTGGTCGACATTGGGAGTGGTTTTGCGGTGAGGATGGGCTGTTTACGGTGGAGAGAGAGAGAGAGACATGATCGATAGCCTATTTGATACCAGATTAGAGATAGTAATTCAATTCAGTTACAACTGATAGAGTTTACAATAGTATAACAGATATGAAACGCTAAACTCTCCTAACTAATAGACTATCCTTAGTCAACTAAACTAACACCACATAATTATTAACTATAGTATACAACAAATATAACATGAAATAATAACACCCATTAACACCAGGAAAAGTCATTGGATAGGGTTTCACCAGGAAAAGTCATTGGAAGGACAAAAAATGACTAAAATATGATAGTCTGGGGTGTTAAATGACAAAAACAATTATTTGGGACTTAATTTGGAATGCTACCAAAGACAAATGACCTCCGATTGAATTAACTCATTGGAAAAAAAAAAGACAAAAATACCTTTGCCTAAAATAGTGTTTCACCGGAAATTCATCGAAAGGACTAAAAGTGTCCAAAATATGATAATCTAGAGTATTAAATGACAAAAACAATAATCCGAGACTAAATTTGAAATTGTCACCGAAGATAAAGGTCCTCCAATAAAATTAACTCTAAGATTTCCTCTTGCAAAATGGTTCCTTATCTACTTCAAGAGATTGGACAACTCACATATCCATATAAACCTCTAGTAATCTGTTATTAAATTTATAATTATTAATTAAATTAATTTTGTTAATTATCAATAATATTATTATTAAATTTATATTATAATTATCAGTAATATTGTTATCAAATTTATAATTATAATTTTTTGAATGATAATAGATAAAGAAATAATTAAAATATAGTGGAGTAAAAGAGTTAATTCCAGCAACGGTCCTCCGACTATATTGATTTTCCAAAATTAGTCCTTGACTTTTAATTTGGACACTTTAGGTCCCTTGACTTTCAATTTCTTTCCAATTGAGGTCCTTTCGTCAGAATACGGTTAATTGAAATTTAAATGAAGGGGTAAACTCATCATTTCACCTGCCTATGTATTATTCTTAGTATTTCTCCATATACGTGATATATATGAAGATAATCTTAGTCGAAACCCTAAAATGTTCCTCGTCGTTCCCCATTTGCTGACTACTCGTGTGTGCGTTCCTCTATTATTGAGATGTTTACAAGGTATAACAGCGAAATACGAAGAATAATACATAGACAGGTGAAAGGACGAGTTTACCCCTTCATTTAAAGTCTGATGAACTGTATTCTAACGAAAGGACTTCAATTGGAATGAAATTGCAAGTCAAGGAACCTAAAGTGTCCAAATTAAAAGTCGGGGGCTAATTTTGGAAAATCACTATAGTTGGAGGACCATTGCTGGAATTAACTCTGGAGTAAAATGACGGATTCACAAAAAATTTGAAAAAAAAAAAATAAAAACTATTGAGAAAGAATGATTTTTGAGATTGAGTGAGATAGTCAATATTAAGGTGGATGCTCTTGTCTATCAAAAATTTAAAAGAAAAATCAAACTATTAAGGTTGCTCTCACAGGTCTCGTTGATGACAGTATATACTATAGACTATAGACCGAGGAAGCTAGGATACTTGAGTTATGACTTATGACTTTGAGAGAGAGAATTAACCACTATAGATGAGATAAAATATTCAATTGCTACCCTGGCCACGTACCCCAAGTAAGCTGCATGAGATTCTTTACCTAAATTTGTAGGTGTCTTAATTAGATTAAATCCTGCAAACATCCATCTTGACTTAATTATTCATTGCTAGCTACTTCTTTCCATCATTTCATCTTTCTCGCTAGATCAGATCTCATCATCATCATCATCATCATCATCTCTGATCCATTGAAGTCAATGATGGAGCTTTCCTCCTGCAAATCTCCAACTCTGCACACCATAATTATCCTACCGCTGCTCGCCTTCACGTTAATCTTCCTCCTCGCCTTCTCTCCTCATCATCGCCCTTTCAACACCAAAACTCCGCAGAACATCGCCACACGCTGCACTACCGCTGCTAATCTCAATGCACCCCAAAGTATCGGAGCTGAGAGCAGCGGCGATCGTCTCAGGGCGACGAAGAAGAAGAGCTGTGATATCTTCGCCGGAGAATGGGTTCCGAGCCCGGAGGCGCCATATTATTACACGAACGAGACTTGGTACAGCATTCAACCGCATCAGAATTGCATGAAGTATGGGCGGCCGGATTCCGGGTACTTGAAGTGGCAGTGGAAGCCGGACGGGTGCGAGCTCCCGGTGTTTGATCCTCGCCGGTTCTTGGAGCTTGTTAGGAACAAATCTTTGGCGTTCGTCGGAGACTCCATTGCCAGGAACCATTTCCAGTCGCTTGTCTGCCTCTTAACTAGAGTATGTTTTTGCCTTAGCTTTCCCTTTTCTTTATTTTTCATTCTTCGTTATATTTTGCAAAGTGATATATTAACCTCAACTGCACTCTGTCGTGATTTTATTAATAGAAAGTAAATATAGAAGATACAAATAGACTATAGTACACAACTAAGCAATGAGTAAAAATTAAGAGTATGCGTTATATTATTCTTATATTTTTTGTCAAGTCAGCACATGCATAAACAAGAAACGGAAAAAATTCAACATAAAGAAATGTAGGATACAAAAAATATTTTTTTAAAAATGTAGTTATAAACTATTTTTCTTTGGGCTGAAAATGTTTGAGAAAGTATAAAACAGATACTACCTTGTAAAGAATCATAAGTATTTCAAAAAAATAATTATTTTTCTTTATATATATATATATATATATATATATAGGGATGCGATCTGGTGCGAAAAAAATCTCTAAGTGCGAACATGTGGTGAGATATGAGCCGTTGATCAAATCTACATCAACAATTCAAATTAATGAAATTTAAAAATAAAAATGCTTGTCTTGGAAGGAAGAAGCAAATTAGTGTAAAAATAGTGCATTAAGTTTGAACAATACGTAAAATTACCAAATTGTCATCACATTTTTTTTTTTAAATCTGTGTTCAATATGAATGGTTGATTTTGGCGAGATCAATGACTATCATTCAACCTCGTATTTCACATGGACACGTCCACCGCATTTGATCTCTAACTAACACACACACACACACACACACACACACACACACACACACACATATATATATAGAAAAAAGTTCAAATGCTGCGACACCCTTCAGTGCGGTCGTGCGGTGGTTTTCAGAATACACCAATAGTGTTAACAATATGCACCAATAATGAAAGAGAAACACACAACAATGAAATGCAAAAATACACCAAAAAATACACAACACACCCAAAAAATACACCATATACCTCCCTACCACTAATGGTGTATTTCCGAACACTGTGTGGCTCTTTTAGTCATACCTAATGGTGTGTTTTTGGTATGCGTACCTAATTTGTGTGTGTGTTTTTTTAGTGCATTTCCTAACGTTGATGATGTATATTTTGCTTAACTATTGGTGTATTCTGAAAACCACCGCACGACCGCACGGGAATGGGTCGTCGCACCTGAACTCGACTATATATATATATATAGGGATAAGGTGCGGGTGGACGCACATTAAGCATTAATCTGACTCACTTTAAGTACAAAACACACGCACATTAAGCACACAAACAAAACACCTTAAGAACACAAACACACTCACCTTAAGCACAAAACTCACGCACCTTAAGCACAAACCTCACGCACCTTAAGCACAAAACTCATGTCACCTTAATCACAAAACACACGCACCTTAAAGTTTCAACAACTACTCACATTAAGCATAAACCCACACACGTTAAACACAAAACTCACACATTTTAAGCACAAAATTCACGCACCTTAAGCACAAAATACACGCGCCTTAAGCACAAGACTCACACACGTTATATACAAAACTCACGCACATTAGCCACCGCACGGGAGAAACTCACCCGCACCTGAACCGACTTATATATATATATATATATATATATATATATATATATATATATATATATATATATATATATATATATATATATATATATATATATATATATATATATATATATATATATATATGGTAATTTTGCGTAAGTTCAAAGCTTAAGGTGCGTAAATTTATAGTTTTAGGTGCCTAAGTTTAAAGCTTAAGGTGTTTAAGTTTAAAATTTAATATGTTTATAGTTTAAGGTGCGTACCAGGACTATGTGGTCTAATGGTATCCGGGTTGGACTTCCATTTGGAAGATTATGAGTTCGAGCCTCAGTGGAGGCGTTATTGGTTCTTGTGTTTCAGTAGGTTGAGAAAGTATATGAACAGATACTACAATGTAATAGAGCCAGTAGCATTCAAAAAAAAAAAAATAGTTTAAGGTGCGTATGTTTAAAATTTAAGGTGCATTACTTTCTAGTTTCTTTTTTCCTTAGAAAAAATAAATTACATTTGTGAGTTCTTTTAATGAAGAAAAATAATCTTAGAAGTTTTGTTGAGTTTTCGTGAATTTGTTGACAGAAATGTTTTTGACGCATGCATCATTCTTGAATGTTTCTATGTATCATATATTTCTGTGAATTGGTCTATGTTGATGTTGTTGCCTAATATACAAGCTAGTTGGATTTAATTTGAGTTATGGATAGAGATATTTTAAATGTTGTGACTTTATCTTATTATTTCTAATTGGTTTACTATATTTTATTTACAAGCATATATATAAATATAAAAAAATTCAAACTTTTATTATAAGTCAATTGAATGTTTTTTTTTAGTTCAATGGCCTAGTTATAATTTGGTATAATAGTTGGTGGTTCTATTTGACCATTATTCCTATTTTTTTTTTTTAAAAAAAAAGAAAAGAAAAGAAAAGAAAAGGACTAAGGATTAAATATATCACTCAAGTGCATACCAAACTGCAATATATCATTGAACTTAAAAGAAATGTAATGGATTCCTGAATAACACAAACTTATGCAATTCAATCCAAAATAACATGTTTACTTGAAAATATGTTGACGTGACGGTTACGAATTTAAAAATAATTTTAAATAAAAATAATTATTTCAAAAAATTTGCCAGAGACGAAGAATTTTTCGTCTCCATGGTGGGAGACGAAGAAGATATCTTTGTCTCCGGCCAGGAGACGAAAGTAGACAAAGGTCTTGTCGTTTTCAATGCCAGCTTCTTCGTCTCCGAAGGTGTTTGTTTTGTTTTGGTTTTTTTTTTTTTTTCTAAAAATAATTTTAAAGAACAATTTTTATTTAAAATTATTTTAAAAAAACATTTTAAAATTCAGTAACGATCACGTGAGTATATTTTCAGGTAAAAACAGTCATTTTGAGTTGAATTGTATGAATTGGTGTTGTTTAGGGACCCAATTACATTTTTTTTTTTTAGTTCGATGGCCTAATTGTAGTTTGGTGTGCAGTTGAGTGACCTATTTGAACCGTATTCGAATAAAATAAGAAGAATATTACTTTTAACGTATACTAATATTTTACCCATGCGACGCAGAAAAGAAATTATGTTATCATAATTTTTAAAAAAAAACAAATTAAATTAATTTATTTTTATTGTATTTCATATATATATATATATATATATATATATATATATATATATATATATATATATATATATTATGCAAACAATATCAATAATAATTAAAGAAATTATATTTATAAATCAAAGAGGTAAATTTTAAATTTTGTATGAGTAGATGTTGATGGTAATCAGAAGTATTTTCTTATATGACTGTATAATGTATTGTATGTGCACATAATATTTATTAGAGTGATTCTCTGATGAGATCGTTTTACGGATCTTCATTTGTGAGACATGTTAGATTAATATTAAAATATAATACTTATACTAAAAATGTAATACTAATTAGGAATAAAATATTTGTTATTTATAAAGAAAAAATGTACCCCCTTTGTCCCATTTTATCTGTCCTACTTATTATTCATTGGTCAAACCAACTCTTTCTTCTTTGTTTATTTTCTTTAATATTATTTACTTATTTTTAAATTTGAGTTTTTGTGTTTAATAGTACTTTTAGTGTAGTTTCTAAATATATAAATTTTGTATACTAATACTAAACTTAATATTGCGAAAAATTGAATTAAAAATAACTCCAGTAAAATCTCGTTAACCGAACTAGACACATAAAATGGGACTGAGGGAGTAATACTTTTAAATCAAAATATAAAAATATTACATTTTCTTCAAAAATATTATATTTTCCCTTATAAGTAATAAACACTTTGTTGGATGATATACTTGGGTCTGGCCAAACGGTCCGGAGTGATTTATCAGTCTAATATGACTAGAGGCTTGGTGAAGGCCCAAAGTGCATAAAAGCAATCATTATTGTGTGGACCATGGTCCACACAAGCTGTGTGGACCATATTTTGTCTATTGTAAAATAATGTACATTCAGTACAAAAATAATGTACATTGTATTCAACAGATGTACATTATTTTTGTTCTGAGTGTACATTATATTGTATAATGTACATTCAGTACAAAAATAAAGTACATTTAGTATATTAAAAATGTACTTTTTTGTTATGGTCCACATAACATTGTGTGGACCATGGTCCACACAATAATTTGCCGCATAGAAGAGTCTAGTCTATATAAGCAGGTAAATTATTGTGTGAAACACGATCCAAAATAACGTCGTGAATATTATGAGTAAAAATAATGTACATTATGTGTTAGAATAATGTATATTGTGTTTTAAAATAACGTACATTACGTGTTAGAATAATGTACATTATGTGTTAAAATAATGTACATTACGTGTTAGAATAATGAAACATCTAAAGTAATACAATGTGTTGGTCCCTATAGCTAGGGTGGTAGAAAGTCTAGAGGGGGGTGAATAGACTTTCTAAGTTTTTTCACAATAAATAACCTTTGGTAATTTCAACTTTAAATAACAAGTAAATAGAGAAGTATTTAACTTGAAGTGCACAACGGAATAAATATGTGTAAGGAGTTATGCCCAAGTAATAAATTGAATCACATGCATACGTTAAATAAGTTCAGATGATGTGTAAGGATGATATGAATATCTTGAATATTTAAAGGAGGTGATGCACTCAATATTTAACAATAATATTCAAGATTGTAAATAAGATTTCGTGTCCCGTCAACTGTATGATGAATGTCACATGCAACACGTCAAACTTGCTTAGAATAATTCAAATGTTAAGCATGATAAGTTTGAGTTACATGCATACGTGAAAACGCACTAAACCCGAAAGATTAAGATAGACAATGAATAGTAAACGGATTAGTTAAATGATAAATAAATAAAGCGAATTATGTAAGTGCGGTATGTAAATGAGAGAGGCAATTTATAGTGGTTTGGAAGTGGCGTAATATTCCTTGTCCACTTTACTCCATTCACTTCTAAGAGTAATTCACTATTTTCCACACACAGTTACAATAGTGAATAAGCGCTACACAAACACTTCTTCCGGATGTTTTGCATACAGCTACACCCAACTCCGAGTGTCTTGCACACAGCTACACTCAACTACGAGTATTTCGCACACAACTATACTCAACGCCAACTAAGTGTTTTGCACACAGCTACACTCACTAGAGTATCTTGCACACAGCTATACTCTTTTTACAATTACAAATACAAAGGTAATTGTATCTCTCTCCAACTAATTTTGAGACTATTTAGATTAAGTCTCTTTTCTAGATATTTCAATGAATATTTGAGCACTTTGTATATCTAGAATTCGCACTTGTTCATCCGTGTTGTATCTTCAAGTCTTCATGGCTTTTTATAGACAATCAAATATATCCGTTGGAGCGGAACAATTTGATATTTGAAATTTGAATCTTCATAGCCTGATATTGTTGACAATAGTAGGTCTTCAATTTTGATTTGATTGTCAACTTGCCTGACAAGATAATATTTTTTATCTCAACTTGATTTTCAAGTTGTTTCTAAAAATTATTATCTTCTTCATCATCTTCAAATATCCAACGTCTCTTAGCAATGGATTCTTCTTGTGGCAACATCTTGCTTGCTTGACACATCGTGCTATTGTGCTCCTATTCTGACTTGTAAAAAATAAGTCCTTGGGGGGAATCAATCTCAAGTGTGATCATTTATGAGTAAGGACTTCTACCATTTCACCATTAGGCTCATCCAGTCATTTGTTGTAACGCCATTATTTAATACTTCTTTCTTGGATGAATACTTGTAGGACCAAAATTAATTCTCCAAATTAATTTTGTTCTTCACGTGGTAGATTTTCCTTTGCATACTGACTTGATGTTCTGAATTATGATGCTTGTACTAAAGACCTAAATTCTAAGGGATCTAAAGTACATTTGGCTCATCAAAACTTTATTACAAAAATATTCCTATCATAATGTATATTATGTTTTAAAATAATGTACATTATACTTTAGAATAATGTACATTATGTTTTAGAATAATGTACATTATGAGTAGTTATAAAAATGTGTAGAATACAAACAAACAAGAAGAAAAGAAAAAATTTATACATTATCTCTTTTCTTCTTGTTTGTTTGTATTCTACATCCCTTTTCTTCTTGTTTGTTTATATTCTACAAAATGTATGTTGCAACTAGGTGAAAATATAAAATTAAGCAAAACGACATTATTTTTGGACCGTGGTCCTCATAGCTGTCCGGACCACGGTCCGTGCAATAACTATTGATATAAGTAACTCAATCAGCCAAGGACCTTGTGGTCTAATGGCACTAAGTTGAATTTCTACATGAATCAGTTAGTCGAGGAAGTAGTTATGAATAGATAATTCAAAGTCCTGAAGTGTAATTGGTTGTTCTTGTGTCAGGTTGCATATCCTGTGGAAATTTCAAACAGTACAGACGAAAGCCGGAAACATATGTTATACAAAGACTACAACTTCAGTGTGAGGGTGTTTTGGTCGCCCTATTTGGTGAAGACAGGAACAACCTATACTGAACTCATTGATTTATACCTAGATGAATTGGATGAATCTTGGACCTCAGAAATCTCCACCTTTGACTACGTCATCATCAGCGCCGCCCACTGGTTCTCCCGGCCGACCAAATTCTACCTAGACGCCCAGCCCGTCGGCTGCCTGTACTGCCCAGAACCCAACCTTACCCACTTGACCGAACACTTCAGCTACAGGTGGGCTCTTAGGACAGCATTAAGGGCGATTAATAGCTTGGAGAATTTTAAGGGAGTGACGTTCTTGAGGTCTTTAGCCCCACAGCATTTTGAAAACGGGGCTTTTGATCAGGGTGGGGAATGCGTGAGGAAAGAGCCGTTTAAGAGGAATGACACGATTCTGGGGAAGTTCATCAAGATAGATATGTATGATATTCAGAAGCAAGAATTTGCAGTTGCAGTGAAGGAAGGGAGAAGGGAATTTAGATGGTTTGATGTAACACAGGCAATGTTGTTGAGACCAGATGGGCATCCTAATGGCTATGGTCATTGGCCCAATCCAAACGTCACAATGTATAATGACTGTTTGCATTGGTGTTTGCCAGGGCCAATTGATACATGGAATGATTTCTTGTGGGAGTTGCTGAAGAGGGAGAGGGAGGATTAGGTTGGGATTTCAATCTAGTTAGTTCACTTTATGGGGCTGTCAGTACTAGAACTTATAGGGTTGAAGTAATTTAATACTCATTGATCAAATGTGATTCATGTATAACAGTCAGAACACCAAAAGTTAAATCTTATCTTAATCAAAGTAAGATTATTGAACAATTTATTTTAAATTGTAATCCAACTTCTCTTTTTTAGTTATAATTTTTTAATTGAATCGAAGACTTACAATAATGGCAAAAATTTATGTGAGACCATTTCATATATTTTCGTCATAGGTCAGGTCTAGATGAAAAGTAATACTTATACTGACAAATATAATAATTCGTATTAATCAGGAATAAAGTGTTAATTATTTATATGCAAAAATATAAAAATTTTGAAAAAAAAATGTAATACTTTTGTTGGTTTTCACAGCCTTGGTGGCCGCTCGGCAGGCCAACACCACCGAAAAGATGTTGTGCTTGATCTCGGAAGTGTACGAGATAGTAAAAATGAGGGATAAAGTATTAAAAAGAGAGAATAATGTGATATTATTTCCATAGGGTTTGGCCGTCAAAAATGCCCATCCTCTACATGGTGATCCCGTCGAGATATTTATACATGAGTATGACACTCTTACAAGGTAAGTAGGGTTGACGTAAAGTCAAATCTAGAGGTGGGGTAGGGCTAACGTAGGGCTGATGCAGTTGCCTACTTACTACCATAACCGTCTAAACTAATTAAGGAAGCTACTTAAATGAACGAAGATTGTCTCCGCAGTATCCGCTGATATCCGTCTCTGGACACGCACCCGGTCGGGAACGTCCCGACCACCGTGGGGATGCCTTTAGGGGCCACCGCACCCGAACAAGGACACTCCGCCAGCGAAGCCTGGTCGCCCGGTCGGGTTCTGGAGTAGCGCACGGTCGAGGACACACCGCTCGTGTAGCCTGGTCGTCCATCTGAATCCCGCAGGGTATTCAGTCGGAGACACACTGACCACCAAAGCTGGTCGTCCAACTGGGTCTCGCTTGGGAGCCCACCCGAGGACACACCGGCTCCAGGGACTAGTCGCTCTACCTGCGCGGGCCAAGCCCCGCCTGAGTAAATGTCTGCCGCTATGGCTGACTGGTCGCCAGAGGATGACGGGCGGCCATCACTAGGCGCCTTATATAATGAGTGGGAGCCTTGGAGATCCTCCACCTAAGTATCGGGTCGTGCCTTGATCCGGCTGCCTTGCCATGCCTTCCCGTCTAGCTGGCTATTTTGGGTATCTATCAACTTTTATATTTTTTCTCAAAAGTATTACATTTTCTCATGTAACGAAAATACTTTATTCCTGACTAATATTACATTTTTCAGTATAAGTATTTACGTTTTCATTGACCTGACTCGATCGATCAGACCCGTCTCAAATAAGTATTCGTAAGACAATCTCACACTTGTGTGACCCTACAATGGTATATATGTACACACATACAATTCATACAATTACAAATACTTATATTACAATATTGTGAATGGATAGATGAATAGTTTTATTGTATGTGGAATTGGATTTAGACGCCGTTGTGAAACGAGAGATTCTTCCCAGATACATGAGATCAGATATACTAAAAATATTCCGTTTCGAGATTCAAACTCAGAGGAGTGTTTCAAATTATTACCACACAAGATTACAGGGCCGGATTTTAAGCTGTGCAAGCTGGGCTACCGCACAGGGCCCCTAATTTTAGAGGGGCCCCAAATTTTAGAGGTCCAATATTTAATTTTTACCTAGCTAGTTTAGAAATAAAAATTAAAAGTTTTCAATTGAATTTAAAAGGTTCTATGAAAAGATGGTAAAAATGTGTATTTATTGTATTTTAACTTGAAGGTCAAAGGTTCGAAACTTGCATGTATCGATTTTAAAAATTGTAATTTTGGTAGGGCCACACGGCCCTGCACAAGAAATGATCAACCCTGCTAACATACAACCAATATATGAATATATATGATACGGCATGATGAACCCCTTACATACCTCCAGGCGACAAAAACCGGCGGCCTGCGGCCGGCCGGAGACCCGGAATCTCTCACAGACACGCGTGTGTAACTGTAAACACAACAAATTCAAAACGAACGACGTCGATTAAGCAGAAATGAAATCATCAGCTAGCAATTCCGATCGAGAGTCCAATCTACGATCGATCGATCTTGCGAGCCTAGCAACTTGTCGCTTCGCATTTCGATTCTCGTGCTTTCGCTCTTATCCAACTTGTTATACGCACACCTGCTGTTCGTTTTCATCAGAAGCTTCTTTGATTTCTTCTTCTTCTTCTTCCCCACAAGCTTCCTCTTCAGTCTCGTCACCAAAATTTTCAACTCCGCAATCGCCATTCTTATTTATAGAGGAAATATCAACTCGATCTTCATACACCTCCGCCCTTGCGGACTAGAACCTAATTAAACCTGCAAATCTAATAAGAAAAGTTTTCTCACCTGAGTTTATACGTTACGTTATTCTGTTTCACCACATCCCTTTGATTATATATATAATATATAAAATAGGAATAAGGTTTAAATTGGCAATGCAATTAGGCAAAAAAAAGTGCAATTAGGCCATTGAACACTCAAAAAATGTGTAATTAGGCCACTGAACTCTCCAAACGTATGCAATTTTACCGGATAGCAGGTTACCATCAATTTTAGCAGGTTACCTGCTTATGTGGCAGCTTAGTTGGCATTTTTAATAATTTTTAATAATTAATTTTAATAATAAATTTTATAAAAAATTGGAAAAAATTAAATAAAAAATAAAATAAAGTCGTTTTTATTTTTTAAAAAATTTTTTTAATAAAAAGTTATTATTAAAATTTATTAAAAATTAATTAAAATTTATTAAAAATGCCAACTCAGCTGCCACGTAAGCAGATAACCTGCTAAAATTGAGGGTAACCTGCTATCAGGTGAAATTGCACATTTTTGGAGTGTTCAGTGGTCTAATTGCACTTTTTTTTCGTTCAGTGGCCTAATTGCATTTTCAGGTTACGTTCAGTGGCCAATTTGAACCTTATTCCTATAAAATATAAATGCTTATTCTATTAATAGAGTTAATTTTTGTAGTTAAAATGAAACACATTTTTCAATTGATATAGAGACCTGGAGGCTGGAGGCTTGAAGTGTGGATATCCTTCAATTCTATGCCTATGTAAAGTTAAGAAACAAGATTATACTTATGCCCCTTCTCTCCATCACTCTTTCAAGTGTGTACATATATAAGAAAGACTTCAGATATTTTTTTTTTTTTTAAAAATGTGATATCGTGTGTAAAAAGAAAATATGATAAATATCTTTTAAAAATAAATTGTCTATTTATAACTACTATATATGAATAAAATGTATAAGTATAAGGACACTGAATTCTATGCCTATGTGAAGATTCAGAAACAAGATTATACTATCCTCTCAATTATTATACGATGAACCATAATTTACGTTACAATATGATTAATGATATTTAAGTTCAGTTTCCCTATCTTTATCTTTATTGCATATTAACATTGATGCGGCAGGCATGATCCATCCCACCAGGCTTTATTGCATTTTTTTTCCAAATACAAAATAAATAGAAACATTAAAAAAAACTTTAAATAAATCTAGGTCTAACAATGTCCTAATATCAACAAAAATAAATAAATAAAATAAAAGTTTGGAAATACCCTTGGTGGGATCTCAAACATATTGGATATACTTTCCTTGGTAAAATGCTTCTTGCACTACATATATTGTTTTGTTTAACAACTGTTTATATTTATTGATTATTTGTGCATTGGTTCACTTAGATTGAGCAAATTCATTGTTTTAGGCTTTTTATTTTCCAGAGTTTTTGTTTGTATACAAAAACATAGAGAGAAATGAAATATTAGGACGGGTTCATTAGTTGGCGATCACCCAGTTATATTACTCTTACATAGTTATATTACTAATTGATCAAATAAAATTATATTAAATTATACAAAACTCTTTGTATGTATTATTTATATTGTGAATTGACCAAACGTCAACAAGATATAAAAGAGACATCCTTTGAGATAAACTTTTATAGCAAAAAAATGAAACCATAAAATGGTTGTTAGGTACACCTTACATATGTACAAATATTATTGAATTTTTTGTTGTAGAAATTGTAAGTCTATGTCCAATAATTATAAGTACTTCTAGTGCACATAAAATATTTGTATTTAGCTCAATATGTTGCATAAATAGGGACATAAACCAAATTTTGTTCACCCTACCTAGGAAAATACAATAATATGACAATGTACATAGACAACTCAATTGAAGTTTGGAAACAATAACTTGGGATCGAGTCTCAGCAGAATCACTGAGGAGCCCCTCAGTGCCGTTGGGGCAAATTATGCCCTGGATCCGTGTCCACGATGAATTGTGGACACGGGCCCAAAACAACATCGTTTTTAAAAAAAAAACGCGTCATTTAGTTAAAAAAAAAAAAAAAAAAATCGCGCGCGTTTTGCCGTTAACGGCGTTAACGGCATTATTTTTTTTTTTGATTATGAATGTACAGTTATGCCGTTATGAATGTACAGTTATGCAATTATGAAATTATGAACACAGAGCTCTAACATTATGAACTTACAATTATGAACATATATAGTGATAAAATTATGACCATGGAGCTTTAAAATTGTGAATATAGAGCTTCGAAGATTATGAATGTACAATTATAGAGTTATGAATCTACAGTTATGGAGTTATGAATCTACAGTTATGAGATTATGAATCTACAGTTATGGAATTATGAATGTACAGTTATTGATCGAATTATGAACAAAGAGCTCTAACATTATGAACTTACAATTATGAACATATAGTGATAAAATTATGAACATAGAGCTCTAAAATTGTGAACATAGAGCTTCGAAAATTATGAATGTACAATTATGGAGTTATGAATGTACAGTTATAGAGTTATGAATGTACAGTTATAGAGTTGAGTTATGAACGTACAGTTATGGAGTTATGAATGTATAGTTATTAACATATAGTAATAAAATTATGA